TCTGACATTTTGTTGAACTGGCGGACTTTATTAAGTCAACAGTCAAAAGAGTTAAATGTAATGCTACAAGATCAAGCAGCTTATAGTTATAAAAATATTTTAATGTAAATATTATACACCATTCTTAGCTAGAAGTGAAATTAACCAACAGCAAGCAATGTTTTCAAGCTCTGATAATGTGTCACAATACAGTGCTACCATATATTACACTCTCTGAGGCATACTACCAGTACCACATTCATACACTACATTGTACTTCATATGACAAACCCAAAATCAATAATCTGCATTCACTAAACGTTGCCTGTTCTAAATATCTGAACCTTCTAGGATTAAGAACTGAATGGGAGAGCTTGGGTTTACATTTTTCCCCAAAGGCAAGTTATCCTGACTGAAGTTTTCCTCATTCCCTCCACAGAAATGCTGGGATAGTAGCACACAAAGCATCACAACTGCTTCCTTCCTCATCCTTACAAATTTATCATTCATAATCACTGTTATATGATGCCACACAATCCATGCAGTTGCATAAACCAAGGGAGTGATACCCTTGAGAGCTGATTAAAATCCTGTGAAGGACTGTCCAGCCTAAATGAACTCTTATCAAAACTAATCCAAAAATGTTTATAAAGTTTGCAAGTCACTAAACTAGAACATGCTTTATAAAACGTTTCTTAGGTATTTAATGGCACTGTTTCAACTGCCTATGTTACACGAAATTCAGAGTGAATGGAAAATGTCTATAAATGCTAAGCTGATAAGGATTTGGAAGGAGATAGTCACAACCTATTTCAAGGCACTTGTCTCAGAAGTTGACTGGAGCGATTGAGGAAATCCACACAAGACCTCAGTAAAGATAGCTGGTAGGCCACATTTAGACTCATATCTAGAATATATCTGGTTTGAATCTGCATAGATTCAAAAGAGCGTCTCCTCTAGATACAAATTTAGACCATTATTATTACACCAATCTGCTTGATTTTCTTTATAGAACAGGTCATGTTTTGTAAGGTTCTGAATTCTGTTGTAACACAAGTGTGTATAAATATGACAAAAATGTTATTTACACAAAAGGACGCACATGCACACACACACACAAAACCACTTAAATATGACTAGCTCAACTATCAGCTCTCAAATGCTAACACAAGTTCTTATCTTTGGAACAAAATAGCAACATATGTTGGAACACTGAAATAAGACTGAAGTACACATCATCAGTAGCAGTCACAGAATACTGCATCTTATACAGGCTTAAAAAATCTCATAATTCTTTATAAGACATCCATTAAAACTACTCTGAAACAGAACTTGGATAAAATGAAAATCTGCCTCTACTGGAACGTTTCTGAAGCTGTGAAAATATATAAATGAAAAGCAACATAAAATTTACTGTAATGAATGGAAACTGACCAACCATGGACTAAACTGAGAGAGAATAATTTAGTTGAAAGTAATGTCCCTGAATGCTTGTTCTCTGTTTATGTAAGCAGAACTTGTATAAATTAACACTTATCTGATGCTTTTTTTTTGGTTCAAAATGGGCCAATTTAACCCCATTGCTCTTTATTTTTACTCTAGAATATGTAATTAGGAAAGTTCAAGAGAATCAGTATGGTTTGAAACTGAATGGCCTAAATAAGATACCATATAAATTCACTAGTCTGCATCTTGTGAATCCCGATATCAATCTGGTCAACTCCAGAAGTAAGGAAATTTGACACAGAGGTCTTTACAGTTACTCATGAAAAATGTGAAGGCCAGTTATATTATTTTAATTTTACCAAATTCACAAAAGATTTTCAAACTAAGCTCCTTCTTCCACATTAATTCCAGACTGGTTCTGATTTTTAATTCTGCATACCTAAATAAGACAGGATTGTTGATTTATTTGGACCCAGACAATTATATAATCTGGAAACAGTCACCTAGATGTATTCCCATAATATGTACAAGACTGAAGCTTGAAGGAATGTTCAGCAGTGCAAACGTTTTACTCTCAAGATATCTGATCTTTGTATTAGTGTTTATATCTAATTGGTGAACTAGCTGATGTCTCAAGATTGTATGTTCAGAACTATCAACACAGAAATTTACTATAATCATATACAGCGCTTTGTATAAATACCTTACACTCTTCAGTCAAAAAGGTAGAGAATAAGATGTCACACGACTTTTTCAAAGATCCTGAATATCCAAGGAAATGGATGGACAATAATGTGAAAATGGAAAAGGGTTATCTGGAAGACAGGTGGATAGTACTGAAGTTGACTGTGATATAGACTGGATTCAAGTGGCTCAAAATATGGTCTAGTAAAATACTGTTCACAAAATCGCCAGGCTGGAACATAAGTACATACGATAAGTTGCAACACGCTATACATCGCTCTGGCACCACTTACATTGCACGCAACCACCTGCAAATGCGTGATAAGACTCTGGAATGTTTAGTTAGCAGTCGGTAGCTTGACCTTGCTGTTGACTTAACCGACTATAAAGGAAAATGCTTTGCCTTCTTCAAGCTGTGTGTATCAGCCAGTAGGTAGTGGGGAGAATGGATCAAGGACAAACTCTCCTCCGAAGACCTAGCTGACCTAGCTTGTGTGTGAGACCCGTAGTAATGGTGATTCAGACAGCGGCAGTGACAGGGGAGAACAAAGAATTGTGGCCACAGACAGTACATTCCTCTTTGTTCTATAAATACCATCATGCAGTCTGGTTAGTCAAGGTCAGCCACAGGGAATGAAGTGGCCAGCTGTGTTGTGTCATGACTAGTGGGGAATATATTTATTTCCAACCAAATCAGAACAAAGTTTTATCAGATTTGGAATTAGACACTGAAAATGGATGTTTGTGCTTTTCTCGATTCTGTGGTAAATGACAGAATCGAGAAAAGCACAAACATCCAATGGGAGAATATGCTAAACTATAAGGGACAAAAAGAACATTTCTGAATGCGATGAGAATATGCAGGAATAACACAAGGAAAAGAATAGATCAATTGTCAATCAGAATTCAGTTAACTGAGGGACTCTGTGAAATATGCTAATGCTGTAGAACACAAAGTGCCGGGTCGACAACATCAGACAAAACAGTGCCCAACCTAAGAGAAAGATATTTTATAAACAAGATTCTACCAACCGCGAAGAAATCAAAACCACAGAAACGGCATGTTGTGTCAAAAACTGTGTACTGGTGTGATGCATGTGACATGGGACTCTGCGTGGAATGTTCTCATGACTAACACACCCAGCTGAACTTCTAAGGTAATATGATACTATTATTCCTAATTTTTATATGCTCACTGTGCCAAAAGAAATAATTTTAAAGCAGCATTGATCAGTACACCGATTTTATATACATTTCTGAACGTAGTGTGAAAATTAGAAAAACAAAACTCCAGTTTTTCCCAATTTATTACACTTTAAGTGAAATGTTGCATTTACCATTTTAATTGTTTAAATATCCCCCGTCCCAAGGGGTGAGTAGGAATTAAATGTTCTGCGTTGTTGAAGGGTTCAGAAAGTTTGAAATGAAAACGGGAAAGAGAGCTGTTTGAATTTTGGCTCTCAAAGAGTTGTGTTGCAACTGCAGAAGTGCTAAGAAAAAGATAGACATATTAAAGAAATATTTTCTGTGCACCAATGGACCTCACAAAAACTGAAGAGGCGTGAGTAAGTTATCTCCAGTGGGAATTACTGGCTCAAAACACAATGCCATTTCATTCAATTTTGTCAGATTCTGACATTTCAACTCACAACTGCAGTATTCATCAACTGCACATAATCCTTCACTTACATTAAGAACTACTGCATTCCATACATTTTTAGTTCAGCTATACTCAGCTGCAAAGAGTATCTCACACATCACACATACAAACATACGAATAGACCAAGAAAAGAAATTACAAATAGTATCCACATCTAAGAAATCACAGATGAATACTAGCACAGGAACTGTAAATAGTGGCTAGGCCTCAAATTGTAGTAGTGTAATCAACAGAAACTGAGAAAGTATCCAGGCTTCAGATAGCAGCTGGGCCCTAGCACACAAAATTGATAGTACTGGCATGTCTGAAACAGCGGCCTAGTATTAGCATATGAGGTTCTATTGGGAAGTTCCTGGACTGTTACTGTTGTAACTGCCTCGGTGAAAGAAGATGAGAAGGGAGGCCAAGGTCACACTTCCACAAGCCTATTGCATCAGTCTGCCATGAGACACTGCACTGTGAACATGCACTGTTTTTACACAATTGCTTTTTCAACTTTTCAATAAGACCCTACTCTGCAATGTAAGCAGAGGCCATGTGCCTAATAGCATATAAGAGCCAGTACTTAAGAAGGTAAGTTCTGAGAAGACAGGAGATGGAAAATAGTACTTATATTGAGATTATTTAATAGAAAATTTCATTAAAATGAATAATATTTACATGTACAATATTTGAATTATGATTTCATTCTGAATAACAGGTCACTAGTAGCCACAGTGAAACGTTTTGAGATAAATGTTACTGGTGCAAGTTTAAATACTGTGTATGCAAGTTTCACTTAAAGGTGTCTCTTTGGTACCTGTGAAGCCAATTTATTAATTTCTAGTATTCTAAATGACCAAGTAGAAAGGAAAGTCTAATCTAAGAGAACACATAGGTACTTGATATTGCACATTGGTAGGTCCTAGAAAAATGCAGCTCATGAAGTAAACGTACTGAAAAGGTGGTTATGAGTAATTTTTGTTGTACATGAAAACTATGCTACAACTACTGTAAGACGTGATTTTCTTCTTAGGGTGGAGTGAGACGGAGTTCCTTGGTACTATGGCCACAAATGTGTCTATTGTACCAGTCATAGTATTATTAATGGAATGATAAATGGCAGGGGAAACTGCAGTATTCAGAAAAAAAAACCTGTTCCAGTGCCAATCCATCTATTACAAATCCAAAATGGGCTGCTCTGGGACTGAAACCATCCCTCCACAGTGAGAAGCTGGCAACTATCCACCTGAGCTCTGGTACAGCAATTACAAAAACTTAATGGATTATCACAAATTTTTATACTAAACAATATACGAGTAAGTTATTGTTCCTTGCAGGAAGATTCTAGTTGCAAACCTCCATGCAAGAGTCTCATATCCTACCAACCAAACAGAATTCAATTTCCAGCAAAAATCATTTCTGAGTTTGGTACTGTGTAACTTCTAACAGTTTCATATCAATACATTTGTGCAACAGACCGTTAGAGCTGAAGAAGGCAAGTGACTGTTATTCAGAGTGAAGATTTACTGTATAGTACCAATTCTTTACAAGATGTTTTATGATGACAATATATTAGCAACCATCATGTGCAATCACAACATCAGCCAAAACACTCATAAACTGAAACTGTTGTTCATACTTCAGTCTTTATCAGCATAGAACTGTGAAACACTGGTTGTTACCACATGTCGAATTATGGATTTGAAAACAATATTTCAAACCTCTAATTCACAAAAAGTACCCTTTCACTGTCAATGAACCTTTTAGCTGATAAGGCAGGTTGTGCTAGGCCTGCCAGGATCTGATCTTGCTAAGGCTTAGAAGCCAATCTTCTGTCAGACATATTTATATATACGTTAAGAAATGGCTCTAAAATATTAAGTTATTTTCAATACTCTTTGCTTATCTTGGTCATATGCAGATCTCAGTGTAGGGGAATCACCATTTAACATTTCTTAATTTAAAGTGCTCCCTCATATGGCATTCAAAGTTTGTAGTCCTAACTCTATTATCTCAGTGTTAAATTACCTCCACTTAAGGTTTTCTTTGGTTTAATGTTCAAATCCACTGACCCATGGAAAAGAATGAATGGGGACTTCACTGCATGTGCTGTTCAATTGCTACAAAACTGTCTGGCAATTAAAACATTAAAGAAAATGTCAAGAATCTTCAAGTGTGTATCAAATTTGTCTTAGTTGTATATTATTTCTACAAGACATTTTCTCGTGCGACACTTCTCCTCAACAAATGACTCTCAGAACATACCGTCATGAATCCCAATGGGCACTAGTACTCCAAGAAACAGCAGAGCATTGCGCAGCACAAGCTTCCAGTCAGATGGAACAGCATAAGGCATGAGAACAAATGTCAAACGATGCACTTCATGCGCTGCACACACAAAGATGAAAGAGGTGACCATCACATTCAGAACAGGATATCCTGGTACCAAAACCAGAACACCATGTGTGTCTGCTGCGAGCCAAATATGGTACTGACTGATGAACAGTTCCAACGAGATCCGACCAAACCAGGCGAAGAAACTGGAGTATCGAGTCCTTAGAACTCCAGATATGTTGCGAAGCACAATGTAGCTCACGATCTGTCAACATTTCAAAACTAAATCTACACCTGCTGTCCATGGATAATCACCCCAATTCTACAGGCTTACTGTGACAAACTGCTGACCAAATTATTGAAAGTGTTGGATGTCACATTCCCATGGCAGTGTTTATTAACAGAATGGTCTTCTGGGTTGTAATGCTGTGTAGTTTAGAGACAGCCTAACATTTCAGAGGAGCATACTGCCTCCATCTTCAGTGGCAAATGTAAGCCATGCCGAAGCAGGTGGCAATATGTTCCACTGAAATAATGGCCTCTGTCCAAGCAACATGGTATTACAACCCAGACGACCACACTCTTCAAATGATTAACTGATTTAACTGTGCTGAGTTGCTGGCTGGTTTGTTTCAATGGAATCTCAAACTGTGTTCATGATGGCCTACACTTGGACTTTATCTTGGCCAATTCATATCCTGACACCTTAGTCTTCTAATTAACCAAACACTCCATGGAGCAGTGTTCTTCTTGAGAAGCCTGATTGCTCAGGTAATCAAGAAATTCACTAACTGTTATGGAACCAGAATGTGCATTATCATGTTTGGAAAGACAGCCACTGAAACAAACTCACAGCCAGATGAACCCTAGTTCATTAACATGCATTTCAGTAGTATCCTCCAATTTAAGCCTTGGTTTCCAAAGTGGTCTCCTCCTTTCATGTTTCATGATTAAAATCTGGTACACATCTTTCATCTTTCCCATGCAGGCCACATATCCACCCACTATATCTTGCTTGATATTAAGTTCATTATGCAGTTCTCTCCACTCTTATTACTACATCTCCCTTGGGTTCAGATATTCTCCCTGGCATCCTGTTTTCAAACACCTTCAATCTATGTTCTTCCTTTCTTCCTTCACAGCTTTAACCCATTATGGTTCTAACTTGGGCACATCTTAGCTTTTTATTTTTTTTTTTGCCACAAATCTACAACAGACTCAGTCTGGCTTTTTACATTTTACACTGTAGTTTTACACTTGTAGTTTTGCTTCCAAAATTAGTTATGAATAGTAGCTCACAAAGATCCTGTCAATCCACCCTCCCTGTCCTACCCTTGCCTAGGAGAAAGTTCACATTCCAGAATCTGTGAGCAACTGAACCTCTCAAGTTCTAACCACTGAGAAATATACATCATGTGATGGTCACTGCACCATGTGGTATCTTACCCTCCTTGTCACACAGGATTCCCCTTCTTCTGAGTTTCCACTGATCTAGGTGGAACGATGATGTCACAAAACATAACTACACAGATGCATGCTTAAGTTCTGTCTCAATCAAATGCCTATTATATTTCACCTGATGCTAACTGAATTGTTTTTAAAACCACTAATTATGGTAGCAAAACAAAAGAGCTTATACCCGCATATAAAACTTGAAATAATACATCTGTGTGAGGCTGGGAACTTGTCATAAAGCAAAATAGGGAGGCAGTAGGGATCAGCTTCTTTAATATTACAATTAATATTTTGCTGGACATTATCCATCATCTTGTCTATTCTAAAAAACAGTCTAATTTCTATTAGATCCGGTGTATGTTAGAGAAAGCAAAAACTTTTTCATCTAATATGACGAGGAGGGAATCCATGGCTTTAAAATCCTTAAAAAATAATAGACATATACGAATTCTACAGGCTGACAAGGGAAACTGTACGGTGGTTTTGAACGAGTCTACTTACAAGGAGAAGATAGCCAGCCTCCTAGATGCAAGTGTATACGAAATTTTACGTAAGGATCCTACAGCTCAAATTGAGAGAAAAATACGGACACTCCTTACTAAACATAAAACTATCCTTCCTACTGCACTGAAGAGAAAATTGACCCCTTATCATAGTAAACCCCCTCATCTTTACGGACTCCCCAAAATTCACAAGCCTGGTATCCCACTCAGACCAATAATTAGTTCTATTGATTCTCCTTGTTATGCATTAGCTGAATTCCTCCATAAGATCCTCAATCCTCTATCTGGAAACACAGGTTCCTTCGTAAAGAATTCTGAACACTTTATAAAATCAATACAGGATATCAACCTGCAAAAAGAAGACTGCCTTGTAAGTTTTGACGTTGTTAGTCTGTTCACCAACGTACCAGTGGAAGAGGTCTTACAAATCATAAGAGATAGACTCAGAATGGATTCTTCCTTCCCAGAACGCTCACCTCTACAAGTTGAAGACGTGATGGAACTACTGGACATCTGCTTAAAAACCACATACTTCCAGTTTGAAGATACGTTCTACCAGCAAAAGGAAGGTATGGCAATGGGAAACTCACTATCCCCGGTGGTCAGTAATATATTCATGGAGCATTTCGAAGAAATAGCAATAGACACAGCTGAATACAAGCCTGCAAAATGGCTGAGATATGTCGACGACACGTTTGTGATATGGCCATATGGACCGGAAGAGCTACAGAAATTTCTTCAACATATTAACAACATCAGGCCTACCATCAAATTCACTATGGAAGTTGAAGTCAACAATGCACTTCCATTCTTGGATGTTTTGGTTATGAAGCAGGGTCCAAAACTGACCACCAAAGTGTACCGAAAGCCTGCTCATACTGGTCGTTATCTTCACTTCAAGTCCAATCACCCATACCACGTAAAAAAGGGGAGATGTTCATAGTTTGATCAACAGAGCGAAGGTCATATGTCAAAACAAGAAGGATTTTAGTAAAGAAATCAGAAACATAAGACATGATCTAATGCTCAGTGAATATCCTAAAGAATTCGTGGACTCTGTATTGAAGCCATCGACAAGAAATCGTCCCTCTTCAGACACAACATACCGAGGCACTGTAATCATTCCGTATGTCAAGGGTATCGCCGAGAAATTCAGACGCATCGGGAATCGTTTTCAGCTTAGAACAATCTTCAAAACGAAACATACACTCCGGGGGACATTAATGAAAACTGGACCCAGTAGAGATGCCCAGAAAACGAAGCAGTGTGTGTATAGCATCCCTTGCGACTGCGGCAGATGTTACATCGGTGAAACTAGCAGACCCCTAGAAGTACGCATTAAGGAACACAAATATAATATGACACAGGGTTTGCTGGAAAAGTCTAAATTGGCCCAACATGCATACGAGGAAGATCACAAAATTCTTTGGAATGAAGCGAAGGTTTTGCAGATCGAACCCAACACCACATATAGAAGATACAAGGAATCAGCCCACATGTCTCTGCTGGACCATCCTATCAGTCAACCCAGTATGGATATCTCTCCCATCTGGGCCCCTGTCATTACAGCAGAAATCAAGAGACTACAGCGACGTCAAGTGTAGTTGGTTTGGGTAACTCTTTGTTTCATATGTTGGTACCACAAGGAGTATTGCTTCTCTTCCGGTATGATTTCATTCACGATATTTCTCTGGTGCTAAGCCTCAAATTATGATATCTTCAATATTTCTTAGCTCCCACAGATGATTTTGTTGTGCTTGTATACCACAAGGAGTATTGCTTCTCTCCCGGTATGATTTCTTTCTCTGGTGCTAAGCCTCAAATTATGATAGCTTCAACATATCTTAGCTCTCACAGATGGATTAAGTTGTGCTTCTTTTATGAATCCCTTCGGAAATTGGCATAGTTGTCCGGAGATAGGGGCTAGCTCTGTCTATTGGACCCAACTGAGTAGGTTTTACCTGAAGACGGGGACAGAATCCAGTTCCCGAAACGTTGTGTTTTTAATAGAAATTAGACTGTTTTTTAGAATAGACAAGATGATGGATAATGTCCAGCAAAATATTAATTGTAACAATTTACCATCATCACAAACTTTTAGATCTTATTTGCTTAATACTGTTTATGACAGATTTATTTAGTAGTATGAGTGAGGTGAGACTGCAGCCTAAAATGGGCCTACTCTTTCCGTCCCTGATAAAAATAATTATGAAGCACTGGTGCAATGATAACTGGCATGGGGAGACTCAAGTTCTTGGGGAAATACCTGCACCAATGCCACTTTGTCCACCATAAATTCTGTATGGAGTACTGTGGGATTGGCCATGGGCCTCCAAGACAAGAAGCTGGTGACAAACCATGTACGGTACAGCCTTTTTCTTGTGTTATTGAACTGCCAAGAAAATTTGCTTAGGTTGAAAAGCATGTTATGAAGAACCACTTACAGGCACAAACACAGTGTAAGAATGGATCTCATTACATTCCAGCTTGTTGCGGCACAGGAATGAGAATGTTGTGTAGCTGCCCATGCCAATGATGGATGCCAGAGTTGCTGACAGTGCAATGCCTGGTGAAAAGAGATTGCTGTGGTTGTTGTCATCCAGGAAATTGTATCGCTGTGCCAAAAGGTATGCCACCGCAAACACCATCCCATACGATATGCTACAATACAGATCAACAGACTCTCATAAAGCTTCATTCACATTATAAAATATCTATAAAAGACACTGCATGCAGATTCCTAGACAAATCATTTCCAGGATGTTGGCTGCCAATCCTATGGCACCTTGATGACCAAACTTCACATTGTTGGTTTCCTTCTTCTGGGATATGTAAAGAACCATACACATGAAAGTCACTTGTTTTTGTTGCCGTATTTATTGTTTGAATGCACAAAAGCTTCGTCTCACAGCTTGGTGGTTGGGGTAATCAACTACCTCCCTCAGCCCTTACAACATTTATGATTTAAATTCTTTTATACATCTATTACTGATGCGATGACTTGTGGTATAAGTTCATACTATGTTCATGACCTAAGGCCGTGCCATAGCTCAAGCGGTTAGTCGCTGGCTTCCCACCATGACGACCCAGGTTCGATCCTGGGTCTGGTCAAATGGGATTTGTGGAGGACAAAGTGGCGCTGGGGCCGGTTTTCTCCGAGTACTTCGGTTTCCCCTGACAATCTTCATTCCACCAATTGCTCCACAATCACTCTCACCTATCATCTGGGGCTGGTACAATAGGCCAGAAGTGGCCTCAGTACAAGGGACTTAGTCCCACCCCACTAGCAATAAAAAAAGAAGTTCATGACCTACACAGTAGTGGACATAATATCCTTCAGATTTAAGGGCAGTGTTTTGAAAGCTAGTGCATGACAATGCAGGTTGAAGTAAGTGACAGCAATATCAGGAGCTTCTGCTTTCACCAGGCCTACAAATTCTGACCTGTTCCCAAGCATTGCGTGAGCCCCACCAGGGCAAAGGAACAATATACATTATTTTATCATTGATGGTTCTTTTATTGCTAATGGGGTGGGACTAAGTCCCTTGTATTGCGGCCACTTCTGGCCTATTGTACCGGCCCCAGATGATAGGTGAGGGTGATTGTGGAGCAACTGGTGGAATGAAGATTGGCAGGGGAAACCGAAGAACTCGGAGAAAACCTGCCCCAGCGCCACTATGTCCACCACAAATCCCACTTGACCAGACCCAGGAACAAACCTGGGCCGCCACAGTGGGAAGCCAGCGACTAACGGCTTAAGCTATGGCGCGGCATCATCGATGGTTGGACTTGTACAGCATTCTAATAAGGAAGAAAGCATCATTTTTGAACACCTTATGCTACTACAAACTGTGAGCAAGAAGATCTCACCTGTATCGATCCAGTTTCCAGCGGAACCACCACTCATGTATATCATCATCTGTTGTCACAAACAGAGCTTTCCATGGTCGTGTGACAAACACCTTTTCAAAGAAAACCTGAAATAAAAAAAAATCTCAAAACAACTATAAAAATATTGTTGGCAATAACAACACACTCCCCCAGGCAACAAGACGGAGGCTGGAAAGTCAGTGTTCAATTCCCACAGCAGTCCAGACCTCTCATCATCATCACCAGTCTTGCATCTCTCATTTACTGCCAGTGATGCAGCTCTGATAGGTCTGCCATAATCCAATCTGGATAATCCTTAGAAAATGGACTCTTAGTGTATGTAGTGTGTGCATGCGGCACATACGCATGCACACAGATGTGTATCAGCGAGTATGAATACCAGCAAACAACTGATATGTAATGGAAAATTTGCGAAAAGTCATATGTCATGCATATGTTGAAGCATCATATGTTTCAACCTTGAGGATAACACAAATTTTAGAGTAAAAAAAAAGAACATGTTTTTAGAAGAAGGAAGTAGTAGTGTATAAAACACAAACATATGCAAATATCTTAAAGGATGTCACAGCTGTACAATATCTGATTTTCACCTGCATCTTAACATTGGGACCAGGGGTCACTTTTGTGTCTTTCACTCTTTATGAAACACAATAGCAATTCTTCAAATTGATGAGCAACAGGAATGTTGCCATATTTACACACATCATTTATGCCCTTTTTTAACTAAAGATTTGTGGCTGAAAGTTGCAGTTTATATGTTACACTGAAGTTATGATAATGGTGGCTGCACGACACTGAAATAAAGATTTGTTGTCTGAGAGAAAAGTGGGATTTCTATTATTCTCTGCATAATTTATAATCATCATTTTGAACTTTGCCTGAAACACTGTCAAATAGTTACTCTTTACCACTAATTTAGCAAAAGCATATGGGGACCACCAGTTGCAAGTTTGTCCACTGTGTTTGGTGCTTACACTCTCTGTCTTTCTCTTCTGACCTAACTGTTTCAGCTGGCTACTTGTCCAAGGATGCCAGTGGGTACCCTTGTTCATATTCTGTAGCTTGAGGAAGCATAAATGCCTGTGTGATATTGCAGACACTTTCATACATGTCTGTTTGATTTGGCTATATATACTTGTACATACAATGGACAGTGCCTACTGTAATAATGGTTATCAATCATGTAATGTTATTTAATTTTATGAAGTCCTTATCAGTCATATGCTAATACACAGAATGAAACTATGTTTATTGTAATCAGTGCTTCAGTTTTTGTTTTCACTTTTTTGCTCTATTGCAGCTTTTATACTTGCACAGTGGAAGCCATTACATCGCATCCTGGTTTGTTCTTGAGCTCCAGCACCAATTTGAATGCTTCAATAACAACCTTCTCAGAAAAGACAACAAAAAATTAACTTTAAAGGAATTAATACTGCTTCATATTAAAGTTTTCTTTCTGTCCAGTTACACCTTTGCATGTACACATTTCTGTTCTTCAATAAACAAGGCTGAACAGCTTCATTCTTGTTTCATCAGTCATTCTTATCAATTAAGCTGTGTCTAAAAGGGATTAGAACAAGCAGCAACCACTGTATATATAAACTGGGGGAGGATAGTATACGAAGACATACATCACACTATTAACTACTTATATTCCTATTTATTTAACAGAAAATTTGTGGCTAAAAGTTGGGGTACAGGTATGGCATATTTTCTCCCAAATGTGTCTAAAAATACAGGTGCCTATACGAGGAAATGGTATAAATTAATGTGAGTAAATACATAAGCTGGTATTTCTGACTATTCACCTCAGACATGTAGAGAATGGTGATGACACTGAACAAGCCTACAAACTTGAGCACCAGGTACAGATAGTGCAGGGGGTTGCTCTCTGAGGAGGCAGCAGTAACTTGTGGCGGTAGTGCCAACACAAGGTAGACCATGAGGAACCAGAATGATACCAGTGGTACAAAGTAGTAGAACTGGTACGGGCGGTTCATACACAAGCATAATGTGACGGTCATGAAGTTCAGTCGGAACAAAACCTGCCATAAGAAACACACCATAATGCAGTAATGTTATTACTACAATGCCCATAGATAGAAACATGCATTTTAGATTGGCTTTCCAGTAACCTCACCTTACACTTCTATTTATGCTTCACTTTAGTAATACATGCTCCCACCACTTGCGTAATCTTAATTCCTTACAGAATTTACACATTCACCATACAGTTTCATAACACATCTTGCTCTAACAGGAAGTTACTGTAACCACTATGAATTTTACTTTTTAAAGATCACATAAATAAAGCCAGAAGTTTGATAACTTGCCCAAAATTTTCCCAAACTATAACAAGCAGCTTAAGAGCTTGGACAGTAGTCTTACTACAACCATTCTCCACAGCAATCCAAGTGCCACTGTTCTGTAAGGCACTCATGCACTAAGATATAATGCATACAAGAATATACCATCTACACAACAACACTCTGTATTTTAAAACAAAGAAGATACTACTGTATCAACATTTATTAAAGCTTTTATGGATGTGACATGTTTCACCCCCTATATCAGGCCATCATCAGGTGTATAGTGTTCAGCTTACAATGGCCTGATACAGGAGCTAAAAGAGCTAAAAAAAGCTTTAATAAAACAAAGTTGATACAGTAGTATCTTCTTTGTTTTAAAATACAGAGTGTTGTGTAGATGGGATATACTTGTATGCATTATATCTTATGTGAGAAACACAACAGAAGACTCATCCACTACTCACAACACAGCTCAGTACCATCATCAACAATCCCAGAAAAGTGATCATCAGCCATACCTGGAAGAAGCGGACCAGCCCTGCATCTCCACGCTGCCAGAAGTAACAGAAATGCCCATATCCAGACAAGAAGAGATATGAGGACACTAGAACACGAATATGCATGTAGATTGGCAGGATACCGCTCGCACCTGTCATGTGGTAGATGAGGATCACCAACTGCATCCAACCTGCAAGGAATATCAGAAGATACAGATAGGAGTTAACTAATACATCAACTGCTAACTATGGAATAATTAACCTTTAACACCCATTTGTCACACAACTGTGGGGGCACATGAGCTTCTTCAGCATACTCCAAGCAGGCCTAATGTAACACTGTGAACAAATCCCATTAGCACCAAATTTGAATCTAGCTGCCAAAGCCACTAAGTGGCAGAAGATTTAAATCTGGCTGATAAAGGTTAATGAACCAAACTTTTAGTTAACTATCAAACTAACTGCTACCTAATTAACAACCAAACAAATATAACTAACCAATACATCACTTATCTTCGTACCTAACAAATTATCCATTTCACTACTAAACTAATCTATCTGCAAACTCCATATCACACATCCATCTCAAGCAAATGACAGTTATTCAACCGATCAAGAAAGTCTCTGTTGTTATGGAACCAAAATGTTCATCACCATTATCAGCCAACCACTGGACCCTATCACCAGCCAGTTAAATCCAGTTCAGGGAGGCTGCACCATAGCTCAAGCAGTTAGTCGCTGGCTTCCCACCACAGCGGCCCAGGTTCAAGCCCGGGTCTGGTCTAGTGGGATTTGTGGTGGACAAAGTGGCGCTGGAGCGGGTTTTCTCTGAGTACTTCGGTTTCCTCTGCCAATCTTCAGTCCACCAAATTCTCCATCATCATAATCACCGGGGGCAGGTACAATAGGCCAATCAGTGGCCGCCGTGCCAAGTGGACCCAGTTGGACTCCCCCCCACCACTAAGCGAATTAAAAAAAATTAAATCCAGTTCACATACTTCAATTTATTTACCTAGTACAGGGTGGGGCACAGAAACTTCCTTTTTTGAAGGTGAATAAAAGAAAAATTATTGCTGATAGACAAAATTTATGTTTAGCTAATGAAAGAACATACTTTAAAGTTTTAAATCATGTAGTTTTAAACAAAATATCTTGAAGGTGGTGGC